TTTGTTGGCGAAGATGGTGCTCCCCCAACTTCCAGGGAGGTTGTTATTTACCCAAGAGGTCATCCTTTAAAAATTGTATCAAGTATGTCAGCCAACTTGGATCCTATGGTTTATCCGCTATTTTTTCCAAGAGGTGATGCTGGTTGGCATAATCAATTGGTGCATAACCCTGAGCGTGCCACACTGGTTAGAAATCATGTTACATTATCTCAGTTCTACAATTATAGACTTTCTGTTAGGCAATTTTTCTGTTCATTATTTTATGGCAAGAAACTATTTCAGCAATATGCTTGAGATGCATATGTAAAAATTGAAGGCCAGAGTCTTGCTTTTATCAGAAATAATCAAAATAAGCTGAGAAGCGAGCAGTACAATGCCTTACATGAACATATTAACAACATTGCCAATGATCGTAATATTAGACCAGGACGAGTAGTAGTTTTGCCATCATCTTATGTAGGAAGTCCTAGAGCTTTAAAAGAAAAACTTTGAAGATGCTATGGTAATTATTAAAAAGTATGGTAAACCAGATCTTTTTATAACTTTTACTTGCAACCCAAAATGGCGTGAAATAACAGAAAATTTATATCCGGGTCAGAATGCGAATGATAGACCTGATTTGGTTACTCGAGTATTTAAACTCAAGTTAAATAACCTCCTCAATGATATATTCAAACATGGTGTATTAGGCAAAGTTGTAACGCATGTTCAGGTTATTGAGTTTCAAAAGCGTGGTTTGCCGCATGCCCACATTTTACTTCATTTAGCAAATGATGATAAACTTGAAACATCACAGGATATCGATAACTTGATTTGTGCAGAAATTCCAGATCCGATAGTTAATTGTGAACTTTATGATATTATCAAAACTGATTCATGATTCACGGCCCATGTGGGATACTGAATCCAAATTCTCCCTGCATGAAAGATGGGGTGTGCAGCAAAAAATATCCTAAAGATTTTAATGCCAACACAGTAGCTGTTCACAATGGTTATCCGCGCTATAGGCGTCGTGATAATGGGTTGGTTATCAATATTAAAGGCAACAATGTAGATAACCGTTGGGTGGTACCTTATAATCCTTGGTTATCAAAGAAATATCAAGCCCACATTAATGTTGAAGCTTGCATGTCTGTAAAGGCTGTTAAATATTTGTATAAATACATATACAAAGGGCATGATTGTGCGAATGTTTTGATAAATGAACAGGTTAATCACGATGAAATAAACACTTTCTTAGATTGTCGTTATGTTAGTGCACCTGAGGCGCTGTGGCGAATATTTGAGTATCCCATAAGTCATATGTCACACTCTATTATCCGTCTTAAGGTTCATCTTCCTGAGAATCAGATTGTGTATTTTAGAGAAGGAGAAGAACAAGTGGCGTTAGATCGTGCTGCTCAACATGATACACACCTTACGGCCTGGTTTAAATTGAATTCTGAAAATGAAGGAGCCAATCGCTATTCATATGTTGACATTCCATATCACTTTGTATTTGATGATAAACATTGTAAATGGAAGGTTAGACAAAGAGGTGGAAATAAGGTGATAGTAAGAATGTATAAAGTTAGTCCAACAGGAGAATTATTTTTTCTTAGATTGTTACTTTTACAAGCAAAAGGAGCAAAATCTTGGGAGGATTTGCGTACTGTTAATGGAATAGTTCTTGAAACCTTTCGTGAAGCGTGTGTTTTTAATGGTTTGTTGCAAGATGACACTGAATGGTAGAATACTCTTTCTGAGGCAGTTTTAACGCGAATGCCTAAGCAAATCAGGCAGCTGTTTTCAATTATTTTAACCTTTTGTGAACCTGATGACCCTTTGCATCTTTGGAATTCATACAAAGCTTTTATGATGGAGGATTTCATTCATCGCCAAGTTCCATTTATATTAGCTGAACAAGCTACTCTTCTTCAAATCGAAAAGATTATTAACCAAAGTGGTAAAACGCTATCTGATTATAATTTGCCTGTTGTTGATGAATTCATAGATTTTAATCTAGAAAATTTAAATGATAATGTTCAGCAATCAATTGACGAAGCTAATCGAATGAGACCGCTTCTTAATGTCAATCAATTAAATGTAAGTAATGCTGTCCTTGCTGCATTGAACGAGCAACCATGTGTAGAAAATCAACATTCCAGATTGTTTTTTATGGATGGACCAGCCGGTAGTGGCAAAACTTTTACATATAATTATTTGATTGCTGAAATGAGCAGTAGGGGTGTTAAATCTGCTACAGCTGCATGGACTGGCATAGCAGAAAACTTCTTACAAATGGATCTACGCTGCACGGGTTATTTAAACTTCCTGTCCCAATACTGGATAACAGCACATGTAATGTGACTCCTAACTCTATTCAGGGACAATTTTTAAGGCAAGTTAGTTTGTTTATGCTTGACAAGACATCCATGATTCCCAAACACGCTTTAAATGCAATCGATTGGTTGTTAAAAGATGTTTGCAACAACAACTTTCCATTTGGAGGAAAAGTCATTCTTTTTGGTGGTGACTTTAGGCAAATTTTGCCTGTTGTGAAAAGAGGGAGACCAGCTGAAGTTGTAGAATCATGTATAAAATGTTCTTTACAGTGGCAATGGGTGCAGAAGTTTACATTAACTGAAAATATGAGAGTACGTGATGGAGAAGGAGATTTTTCCGAATGGCTGTTAAAACTTGGTAGTGGAACAATACCTGGCAAGGAGGAAGATCCTTTTAAGGGATGTATTGAAATACCGCAACAGTGCATTATTAGAGAAAACGAATCAATTGTTGAAAAAATATTTGGAGATGCTTAACAAGATGATTATGCTAAACATGTCATTTTAACACCCACCAATGTGGATTCATTGTCAATCAATGAAGAAGTGCTTGAACGTCTACATGGAGAGGTCAAAACTTATTTAAGTGCTGATCAAATAGACACTGACGATCTTAATGAAAGAAATAATTTCCCTGTTGAGTTTTTGAACAGCTTAACTCCTTCAGGTATGCCTACTCATTGTTTAAAATTGAAAATTGGTTGTGTAATTATGCTACTTAGAAATTTAGATCTTAAAGCTGGGCTATGTAATGGAACCCGAATGAAAGTTTGTGCTCTCCAAAACAATTATATTGATGCAGAGGTTTTGACAGGTGTTTCTGAAGGTAAACGGGTATTTGTTCCTCGAATTCAGTTGGCTCCATCAGATTCTAATTTACCTTTTGTTCTAAAACGTCGTCAGTTTCCTGTCAGATTAGCTTATTCGATGACAATCAATAAAAGTCAAGGTCAAACATTTGATAGAGTTGGGGTATATCTAAAAAAACCGTGTTTCTCCCATGGTCAACTATACGTTGCATGTTCAAGAACTAGAGCATTTAATAGTTTGTTTTTCAAAATTGATAAACATCCTATTCAAGGTATGGTAGGTGAAAAATACTACACAAATAATGTTATATTTTCTAATGTTCTTAATTTATAGTCTTAATATTTTCATTTCTAAAATTTACTGTTTGTAGGTTGTGAGGTTGTGAACTTTAATATTTTTATTTTTTTCATAGTTTTTGATAAATATATTTGTCATTTAATATTGTTATATATTGTGTTTATATGTGTTATATGAAGTCATATTTGTTTATAGTTGTATATATGTTTACATTATGTTGTTTCCATGTTTTCAAAGTGGTGTGACTTGGCAAAATGTTAAGCAAGATTGTTAACCTTGCCAGCCAAGCGGTGTACTTATAGCAGAGGTGTGACTTAGCACCATTTTGTGCCAGGCGGTGTTACTGCTTTAGAGCTAGGTTGTGTTGTCTAGCTTTTTTTAATTATTCTGGAAACACATAATGTCTGGTAATGTTTTGTGTAATGTGTATAAAAGAGTATGCAACCTTGATCCTTAAATTTAAAAATAATTGAATAACTAATATTGAATATAAAAGCAAATATACTATATTAAAGTTTAGTAAAAGGATAAATGTAGATAACTCAAAATTGTTTTTTTAGTTTTGCCTTTCATATTCTTTTAAAATTGGTTTGTTATTTTCCACTGGATTTTAGAGTCAAGGGTGTAAATATTAGTTATATAGGTGTGAATATGTGTTAATGTTATGTGTTATTGTTATAATGTTGTAATGTATTGTTATAATGTATAATATTGTTATATTGTTGTGATGTTTTGTGTTGATAGACAGCTTGGCTTACCTTCCCGTTGGTGTCTATCGTTAAAAATGAATAATAGATAGTTTCATTATTGGAACTTGCTGCTTTTATTCATTTACTAAAAGCCAAGACAAAATTTTGCTAAAAATTCAATTTATGTCTTTATTTGATTTTTTTTTCCTTTAGTATTGTTAATCCTTTAGTACTTCGAAAAAGATTTTATAGCTACTTTTTTCTATAAATGTTTATATTAATTGCAATATCAAAAGGTTACAAAAACAGGTAAATCGGTTTTCAGTGTTTATATGTGGTGTGTATATATATATATATATATATATATATATATATATATATATATATATATATATATGATGTTATAATTCCGTTCCTTTTTTTTATTTTAGATTTTACCATATGACGTATTAATACAATATTAAAAAAAAAAAACTTGATTTCCTAAATTTGTAAAATTTTGTTCGTTTGTTAAAAAGATATAAAGACATTAATATATATATTTTTTTCCGATGTTTTCCCTATCTTATGCTTTAATAATTCGTTGTTAAAAACACAGGGAGACTTGCAGTTTGTCAAATATTAAGTTGATTAGTTTAGTCTGCAATTGCAACACTTTTGAGGAAAGAAAAAATTCTTATATATGTAAATCGTTGTTTTACGCTTTATTATTTTGGTAAAAAGTCTTCATCATAAATAGGTTACTCTTAATAAAAAAAACTCTACTCACATGGTTACCATTAAAACAAAAAAAGGGGAGGGGCTCTTAATTAGCGGAGATGTCAAAATATTGACGAAACCGAAACTTCGAGCAATAAAAGGAATATTTAGTAAATGCAGCAAATTACTTTACCGTTTGCAAAAAATTATTGAAATAAAGAGGCCATCTATTCAATATAGAAATAATCAGAGTTTAGAAGGCTTAACATGACCGGGTCCGTTAGCTTTGTTTGCAAACATGAGATTATGTCACGTTAACAACCTCAAAAGTCAATTTAAAACATGTTTAGTAGCAAAATGTGATATATACAAGTATAAATGTGATAGTATAGTAACACTCTTTTATCATTTTTTAGCTAATAAAATGGATTTAAGACTAGATTGATTTTTGTTTCCTGTTAAACCGCAGTAAATAAAAATTAGAAGGCTATTTGGCCCCGACAGAATATGCAACAAGTTTGTATTAAACTCATTTACACAAAAATGGAATTAAGACAAGTTAGCTCCTAAAATTATCTATATGTACAGATATGTTTATTGCACTTATTAGTAAATAAACTGATTAGTTGCGTAATGAGTTTAAATTTTAGCCATTTTTTAAAGTTGATAATCATAACGTACTTAATTAAACATGCGTGATGTAATTTGCATAGCTAAATTAAATGCTTTTTGCGCTTAGTGTTGCGCAGTTTGGTTTGTGCGCAGTTTTTCTTCTGTTCTGGAATTTTGAGATTAGAATTTCCAGACTTATTTTAAAAAGCGCGTTTTCGTTTTAATTTTTTTTTTACATCTAATCGTACCTATCAAGTAGGTCATATTCAGTATAATCAATTCAATCGTTTTCATTTTTTATGTTTTAACATGTCTATTACCTTTATTAAATTTGTTTTTAAGCATATTTGTTTTTATTTTTTATATCGAATTAATAGAATGAATCAGATTGAAGATGAAGGTTTGTATTTATTTAGATAGTGTATTATGTTACAGATGTATAATGTTATGTTGTTAGTTCTTAAATATATGTTTATTTTTAGTTGCTGAATTACTAAGAAGTAAGTTTTCTTTCATTTTGTTATTAACAAATGTTATAAATTGCATTTATATGTTTGTTAATTTAAATTAACTTTACAATATTAAAATGGTTTAAACGAACTTAAACGAACTTTTGTAAATGAATTTAATCCTCAAAGATTAAATTTTTTTTATTATTGAAGAAATTAAACTAGATTTAAGAATGAGTCAACTTAAATGTTTGTTTGTTTTTCTATTTAGATGATGACAATATTGAAGCAAGTAGGTTAAAAAGCATTTTTAAATTTTTAAAAAGAAATAAAAATACTTTTCAATATATATCTGTTTTCTTTGAGGTAGATTTAAAGTTTCAGGTTTTTAAAATCATATATATTATAAGATTTAAGAATGAGTCGACTTAAATGTTTGTTTGTTTTTTTATTTAGACGTTGTTGATAATATTGGAACAAGTAAGTTATAAAGCATTTTTAAATTTTTCAAAAGAAATAAAAATACTTTTTAATATGTTTCTGTTTTCTTCGAGGTAGATTTAAAATTTCAGGTTTTTAAAATCATACATATTATAATATTAAATTTTTTTTTACTTTAAAAATATCCATATTATAGTTACACTGAGTCGTAGAAAAAAAATTAAAGTTTATTAATAAGGTAGTAGATTATTAGAGTAGATTAAATTGTTTGATCTATTAATCAACTTAATAACGTACTATTAAAGTAAAGATTTATTTTGGTTGTTTGTTAAAATTTAGTTATAGTTTATTTAAAATTTAAATTCTTTAGTTAATCAAGAGAGATCTAATAAAGGTATTAATTACATTAGTTGAATGTAGCATTTAATATGCATTTTATCGATATTTTAACGTCTAAACATTAAAGTGCTTTTATTGTTTAGATACAGAAGTGAAGAAGGAAATAAGTCAGTGTTTTTGCTATTAGATATTTGTTATTAGGAATTTGTTTATTTGTACTGCCACCTGAATTTTAAAAAATCAAGTTCTTTAGCTTTTTTTTTATACTTTCTTTTAGGGGAGTTGGAACAAAAACTAAGTATAAATTATGATTAGTTTAGTTTAATAAATAAAGCATTAATATTTAGAAGATTTAAAGTTTACTTTAGTTTATAGTTTTGGTTTAGTTTATAGTTTTGTTTTTAGCTTTAGTTATTTTTTTTTTACTTTAGACAACTTTATGGATGAAATGAGGGGGATGGGTAAAACAATTATTTAGATATGTATATATTTATATGTTAACATTATTTTATCGATTATTATATATCTATTTAAGTATATATTTGTCTTTAGTGTCAGGTGGAAGTATAGCTGGTAGGACTGTGTTTTATATTTTATATATTTTGTATGGAGAAATATATGCAATAGGTGAAAAAATTAATTAATAAATATGACACTTTTGAACTGGTTGCATTATTGCCCTATATATTTATTAAAATACAAAATATTGCATGTTTAACCCTTATTAATTTGCTGGTTTTTTTTGTTTTTTTTTTAGCATCTTCTGTTTCGAATGAAAATGGTGAGGTTATGCTAATTTTTTTTTTTTTAATAATTGCAAATGTATAATTTTTATTATACTCTTCTATTTGTAACTTTAGATTCCTTATCATTCGAACAATACCAAAGTTATCGCTCCCAACACCCGGGACCTCTCTCAGAGAGGTCCTTCAATAAATGGAAACGTAATGGCGGTATGGATGAGCCCTCCTTTAAATGGAGGGCTCATCCATACCGGGGTGTTGGGAGACACCGAAGAAAAAACAGCAACCAAAAGGTTGTAAATGTCTTCTATCAGTAGAGATATTTATGACTTTTTAGTTGCTGCTTTTTCTTAGGTTTTTTTTTTTTTTTTTTTTAATTTTGTAATTTTTTGTTTTGGTGTTTTTTTTTTTATTAAAAATTTGTAATTTTTTTTTTTAAATATATTACATTGTATATTTGATTTGTTTTAATCTTTTTTAATAAAATTTTTAATTGTCTTCTCACCAATTAAACCTGACTTCAAATTTGAAGCCCTCTTAAATACCCCTCCCTAAATTCTAAAGTCGAAAGTTGAATTGATTCATTATCCAATTATCATAATATAATGATGCTGCATTCTTTTGTTAAAAACAATTATTGGGTACTACTTTTAAAATTTACCAAAACCCAAGGCAATATATTTAGCTATATAAATACAATTTATCTCGATTCTATTCTTTATCTTTTATGTTTATAGTTTGGCTCCTTAAAGCATTTTATGTTTTGCTCTTTTTATTATGATTATTTTAAATCCGTTGTGATGTCTTTTAAATAAAACTAAAGTTTACTAAAAGCCAACATAAAAATTACATTTTTGAACAACACTAAAAAGAACAGCTGCATCCCTACAGCAACTGCTGCAGTATCACAATAGGTTACCAAAAGCAGGTATACTGTTTTCCAGTTGTTGTTTTTTTTTTATATATAATATGAAATATTCATAATACTTTAGTACGATTGTTTATATCTCATTCATTTTTTTTTTCTTTATCTTTAAGTGTTAATAATTTTATTCTTTGAATGATTTTAGTGAAACAAGTCGGCTTTTCATTAAAGATATTGGTTTTAAAATTGAACATCATTAGCAAAATGCTTACAAAATTAGGTAGTTTTTAAAAATCTGTTTTCTATTTAATACACTTTTTTTTAAATATACTTTTTTAATATACTTTTCTATAACAATTCTACTAATATGGAATCACGTAGCTTTTTAAATATGTTTAATTGTCGTCCCTATCAGTAATAAATATTTTAAACTATTTGATATGGTTTTCTTTACAATAGGCTATGCTTGGCTCCTCGGTGCTGTAAATGGTGGCTTCAACTTTGTTTTTTTTAAGAAAAATGTGTTTTATATATGCTTCTGTTTTAAAATATTTTTGTTACATATTTAACAATATATCATGTAAATAAATTTCTTTTAAAGATAAGTAAACTTGATACTTGCTTTTTTACGGATTTTCAAAAAGTGAACAAAGGTTTAAATATATTTTTAAACTGTCTTTTATGATTTTATCAATTTTATTAAAGCTGAATAATTACTTCAAAAATATTGAGTAAAATCCAATTGCTTTTATTATTAACCTGATCTATACAAAAATTAATGAAATAAAACTAATAATCTAACGCCAAGTTAAGGCAAAATGTATTTTATAAAATTAGTATAAATATGGATTGGATGTATGCTGAAATAAATATGTTGATACACGTTAGCTATTATAGTAAATCCATATATTCCTTTGTTTTTTTATAAACAAGTTACTGCTGGATTACTAATTAAAAAAAAGGTTGGTTTAAATAATAATCTTTATCATAATATATAGGATCCGTATGCAGGGTAAGCCCTTTTCGAAATTGCGATATATTTTTCAACTTATAGTTTTTCCGGATATCCAACTTCTATGCCTACAAGTTTGGGTGTAATATTTTAGAGGTTTTAAAAAATATATTAATAACATTTAAAAGGTTCAGGTGCGATAGTGACATAATTTGAAGCTCTTCACTCAGTAAAATGAAAAGTTTAAAAAATAAAGAAATGACTCAGCTTAAAGCAAAATTAAGAGTAGAATATATTCCCAATATTTACCTAAACAATTTTACGGAATTTGAAAATTTGACATCGATTTTCTGTGCATATAAGTTAAATCATTTTATGGTTAACTTTATCTTTAATGAAGCTAAGAGTTCTCTTAAACTAAGAAGCCAAGAAAAATAAAAGTGAGCTCAACTAAAAAAAATGTATAAATAAATTTATATTTCATTAGAGAAAGTAAATAAAGATCAAATTGACAGTAATAATTTATTTACTACTAACCCGTATTACGGGTTGCTTACTGTATAAATAAATTAATATTTTATTAGAGAAAGTAAATAAATATCAAATTGTTAATAATGATTTATATACTACTAACCCGTATTACGGGTTGCTTACAGCTAGTAGATTATTAATAAAACAAACTAAATCTTACAAAATTTTATTATTTTTTTTTTGTTAGTATTAAAATAAACAGATAAAATTCCAAATAAAAAAAAGATTTAATTTTTAAAAAACTCTGCTCCTAGACACTAAAAAATGTTTTATACCAAAAAAAAACACTAGATGTAAAATAACATTAGAATGTCAAAAGTTCCATGTTGGAGGGAGAAATAAAGCAAGTGAATGAAACAAGGTGGTTTTTAGAAAAAATTATTATTATCGAAATAAAAAAGAACAAATAAAAATAAAAATAAAAAACAAAAAAAAAATTTTTTTTTTTTTTTTTTGTCTCTTTACTACTAGACTTCTTCTTTTAATGAATATATTAAACCTAATTCTTAATATATTAATTTTCACTAATGTTATACTCTATACATTTATTACAAACTTGTATAGTCTATTTCATTACATTTGAAATAATACATATATAAATATATTAAAAATAAACCAAATTGAGTTCTGAATTCAAAAATAGTTTAATATGTTTGTTGTTAATTTTTTGGGTTTTTTGGTACCAAACCTGGATATGCTTTTCAGGTAAAAACAAAATGCAAAAGAAAGGCATATACAATTGAATAAAACAGGACATAAAGACGAATTCTGATTGTGAACTGATAGTATCATAGTTTTATTAGGATTTTATATACAATATATTATAAATATCTTTAAAAAAATAATGGCCTGGTGCTTTATAAAACATTATGTTAGCTTCATCCACCCTCCCAAACTAGTGTTTTCCATTTAGAATACAAAGCTGTATAGAAATAAAGTTGAAATTCAAAACAGACGTTAAATGTTTTAATTACCTTATAAAATAGAGCAGTTCCAAGGAAAAAGTATAATCTTCTATGAGGGAAAAAATCGTCAATCTGTAAATAAATATAAAAAACTATTATAACAAGATTTATCTTTGGTAATGAAGACATTTTTTTTCATAAAAATATTGTCAGAGGAAATGACACTATTTTAAAGACAATAAAGATATTAAGAAATATGAGCTTCATAATAGAACAACAATCAAAACACTAAACACAACTGCATACTAGTTTTCTTAATTTGTTGTGTTTTAATCTTATTAGATAAAACCTTTTGATTTATAGGGTCTTATAATTTTATTTTTAGTTTGTTAATTATTTGAAGATAATTATTCTAAAAAATTTTCAAGTATAAAACAAACTCTTATGTTACTATTTTCCATAAGGTAAGGATGAATAAAGAATTTTTTATCTCCATTATAACTACATACCTAACTAGCACTGTTCAGAGATACTTATGTTAAAAAATATTTCTCTTTACTATTTATACTTTTATCTTTACTATACTTTGCTATTCATGTATAAAGTACAACATATGTTTCCTTTTTTTATACTTTCTAACAAATAACTAAAATGTGTAAACTATTTAGCAAAAAAAATTGCTATAACTGTTGAAAATCTTTAGTTAAAACATGAAATTTCTAACCATGTATTGACTGTGTGTGTACCTCAAGTATATGTGTAAAAGAAACCTGTGAGACCAAAAACAAGGCTACTGAACTATTGTTACTTAAACTTTATCGGATGAAAGATATCACATTTCAATATTCAAAATAAAAAATATATACCAAGTATAAAGTTATTATTAATAAAAGCAAATATTTGTTATAATCAGGAAGTTTAAAACTGATTTTGTTCAAAATTTAACTAGAAAAACTTAAATCAAATCAGAAAAGCTATTCACATAGGAGCTCAATATGAATTTCGAATAGATTTTTAATTATCGTAGTCTTTGAACAAGCTTTTTTTTTATAATATTTCCTTATACTTTTTACTATTTCAATGTTCTTTTTACAACTTCATTTTTGTTCTTACCATCTCTTCTTTATACCACTTTATTCTTCTTTCTACCGTTAATTTTTTCTTTTTTGAATTTACTTTACTCTTATTAAATTTAACTCATTAACTAAAATTGTTCTCACTTTTGATTATTGTTTTTTTTTTAAACACAGTAAACTTATTTACATATTAATATCTAAACAAAGTATATTAAAATAATAATTTTTTTTTTTTAACTTACACATTCTCCATAGTCAGCAGATTCTAAATCATTTAATACACATCCAACATCTGTCTGTAATAAAAAAACTGTATAAGTTATTTAATGCACATTCAATGTCTGTCTGTAATAAAAAAAACTGTTTAATTCACTAAATACACATCCAATATTCGAAATAAAAAAACTGTATAATTTATTTAATACACATTTAATGTCTATCTCAGAAGGATTTATTCAATATATGTTGGTAAAGAATTTACTCAATGTTTGTCTTCAAAGAATTAATCCAATATTTGTTTTTAACAAAAACAATAACTAAAAAGTTTATTTATAATGTCTGTCTGCAATAAAAAAATACATGTTTAACTTTATAGAAAAGTACACATATTTAACTTTGAAGTACATTATTTAACTTTACAGAAAAATGCAACTCAATATAAATCAGTTGATTGTCTTGCTAGAAGTGAAAGAGCATCATTAGAAGGACCAGCCCAAATATGACAGCAGTGTTCTATACAGGGGTGAATAAGAAATTTGTAGAGGTAGAGAATAGAATCAGGAATAAAAATATAGCAAACATGATAAACAGAAACAACCTTAGCAGATGCTAATTTACCAATTAATTGTATATATAGTTTCCATGAATGGTCAGAAGTAAACGATTATCCAAAAACTGCCATAGTAGGAATATTGACGGTATAGTCAAAGTTTTTTGGAGAAATAACTGAGTTAAATTGAAGTTAAAATTTACAAGTCATCCCCAATCTGTTACAGAAGTGAGATTAGATTCAAGATTGGCTGCCTATTCTAAGCAATCAAAAAGAAATTTTTTTTTGTCAAGACAGGAGTATAAAGTTGAGTCATCAGTAAATGGATGTCACTTTAGATGTAAGGCGGTCAGGAAGATCAATAGTGTAGATAAAAATAAAATAAAATAATAAAAATAAAATAATAAAACAAAATAATTTGAAAAAAAAACAGGACCAAGGATAGAAGCTAGAGGTATCCCAGAAATTATTGGAAATAGAGAAGAGTGTTGGCCTTTAATAAAGCGGTTAGAGAGAAATGATTTGATAATCTCCAAAAACTTTCCCAAGTACATCATAAGAAGCAAGCTTATGGAGAAAATTGGCATGCCAAACTTTACTGAAAGCGTATAGAAATAACAGATAGAAGACTGAACAATACTTAGAGGAGCCAGAATAACAGATAGAAGACTGAACGATACTTAGAGGAGCCAGAATATTCTCTAGAGTTTTTTAAAAATTGGAACATTTTTCTTGCAGGAAAACAAGATTTAGTCAAAAACTTATGAATAGTTTAAAGATAATTAAAGAGAGTTGACTGATTTCATATGCTTGATTTTATTTTCGATGACTGATATCATATTTTATTTGTACTATATCAATATTGTACTTTGTTATATAATCTATTTTGGGGTATGCTGTATGTGTCAAGCAATATGGACCTACATACCATATAGAACATGTATTACTTGTTCTAATAAATGCAATCTAATATCATAATAGTAATAGTAAAAACTTAAAAATAAAATAAATCTAACATAATATTCCATGGGAAGTTGAAGCTGGCAAACATCACCAAATAAAACTTCAGTTTCGTAATTGTTAAATATATTCTCCAACAATAAAACAATTAAATGCTTTTGGTTGGTTTCTAAACTGTAAATTTTCCAAAATAAATTCAATATATCATAGTTTAAATTATTTATTAGAAAATAAACAAAAAAATACAAACAAATAAAATACTATTATGAATTTGCACACAAAATAACTATATTAAGATTTCTATTTTGCACAAATTTAAAATATAATTTAATTTTTAATTTAATTTTTCAAGATTTACCTTGAAAAATGAGTATTTGTGATGAGTAGTAAATCTGTAAACCCTTTCACAGTCTTAATAAGCTTTGACATAGAGCATCTTAAAAATAAAACTTTTATTTAAAAATATTAGGAGTAATAATTAAATTAGATTAAAAAGAAAAAAGATTTAAATTAACCTTTCATCTGGAATTGCAGCAACAAATAAATTTCTATTCATTTTTTTATAACAAACATTAACTTGTCTTGAAGAAATCTTTATAATTGAGCTGAAAATAATTCTTAGACTTTGAATAGAAAACAAAAAAAAATGCATCAACAATTGCAAAGTCATCTACAATGATAAATAATAATCATAAAAACAAATAACCAAAGAAAAAAAAAAAATTATAATAAGAAACATATAACAAAAACAAATAACAACTAAAAGACAAACAAGAACAAAAAAAACCTTCAAAAATAAAAAAAATCATAAAAATAAATAGTAATCATGAAAATAAATTTTTTAAACAAAGTCACTATCAACAAAGATGCATGCAATTACAAATTAAGTAAGAAGTTAAGAAAAAATTAAAAAATTGAGCAAGAAAGTTAATGTTAAAAAACGAGTTCTTTAATGATGACTTTCACAAGATCAAAGCACCTGTGAGCAGTAACCATAGTAATATTTGTAAAAAAGATATACTTACAACAATGGGACAGAAGCTCAAGTTTGGCAACTAGAGGATAGAATAGAAGAAAGGAAACAGGAGTAAGAAAAGGGTGAGCACAATATAGAAAGGCAAACTTAGAATACACTAACTTTGCAATGGATTATATATATGGTTTCCATGAGAAACCAGTAGTAAAAAATAATCTATGAAAGACACATAATATAAAACTGAATATTAGTCAAGCAAGTGTATGACAGAGTCGAGTTCTCTGATTATTAAAAACATAAGTAAAGTACCTAAAATTTATTTTATTACCAACATCTTATAATTTCAATTTCTTTTACAAATACTTGTGGTCTCTAAAGTAACATTTTATCTGTTGAATCTTACCTTTTGCCAAATTCACAACACCTTTTTGCTCTTTGTGAAACTAATTTAAATTTTTTATTTTTGAATGTTAGTGTTGATAGCTATTAACCATTACGGTTTGAATTCTTTGACTATTCTTTTATGTGCTTTTGTTCTTGTTCACTCAACCACCTGTTGTTTCTATTCACTCAATCACCTGTTGTTTCTGATCTAATTGACCAAGCCTTTTCTCTTTATTTGTCAGCCAATATTGTTATTTGTGTCTTGTCTCTGAACATAGATTGTTCTCATTTTCTTGTTGTTCTTCATTAGGTGGTTCTGATCTATGATCTAACAAAAACTTCCTTACTTCTTATACATCAGATCTTATCGTTGCACTTCTTCTGAATTCATCATTTTAGAACTTTTTTTTTTTCCTTATTTTCTACAAGTATAATTCTCTGGAGAACAAAAGTATTTTTATTATCGCAAGAAATTCTAGAAAGAAAATTCTAGAAAGAAATTCTAGAAAAAAATTCTAGAAAGAAATTCTAGAAAGAAATTCTAGAAAGAAATTCTAGAAAGAAAATTCTAGAAAGAAATTCTAGAAAGAAATTCTAGAAAGAAAATTCTAGAAAGAAATTCTAGAAAGAAATTCTAGAAAGAAATTCTAGAAAGAAATTCTAGAAAGAAATTCTAGAAAGAAAATTCTAGAAAGAAATTCTAGAAAGAAATTCTAGAAAGAAAATTCTAGAAAGAAAATTCTAGAAAGAAATTCTAGAAAGAAATTCTAGAAAGAAAATTCTAGAAAGAAATTCTAGAAAGAAATTCTAGAAAGAAAATTCTAGAAAGAAATTCTAGAAAGAAATTCTAGAAAGAAATTCTAGAAAGAAATTCTAGAAAGAAATTCTAGAAAGAAATTCTAGAAAGAAAATTCTAGAAAGAAAATTCTAGAAAGAAATTCTAGAAAGAAATTCTAGAAAGAAATTCTAGAAAGAAATTCTAGAAAGAAATTCTAGAAAGAAATTCTAGAAAGAAATTCTAGAAAGAAATTCTAGAAAGAAAATTCTAGAAAGAAATTCTAGAAAGAAATTCTAGAAAGAAATTCTAGAAAGCAATTCTAGAAAGAAATTCTAGAAAGAAAATTCTAGAAAGAAATTCTAGAAAGAAATTCTAGAAAGAAATTCTAGAAAGAAAATTCTAGAAAGAAATTCTAGAAAGAAATTCTAGAAAGAAAATTCTAGAAAGAAATTCTAGAAAGAAATTCTAACATTGTATATCTCATACACGAAAATGTTCTTATTACCTTTCCTAAGAATAAGTTTAATCAATTGTCATATATTTTAATTAGATTCTGTTGCATACATTATTTTCCACTTAAACTCTTTTGCAGCTTATTGATTAGATTCTTGTCAACTCTTACGAATTTGCTCTCCAGAACACTTGTCACTACTATGTAAACTATTTAACAAGTCCTTAATGGAATCTTGTTTTCCTACCTGCTTGAAAATAATATACAAGGTTCCAATTTTTGAAATTTCTTGAAAATTTTTTGAAATTGTTCCCCTATTATCCATTCAGTTTTACTCTTTGGTCTTCTGAATCAAATAACTTCTATTAACTTATCTTAAAACGTTTTATCTCTTAAAATTAATTATTAGTTTTTGCAAAAGTTTCCTAATTTATCACTTGTTTTTTTTATATTTAATAATGTAAAATATGACAAGCCAACATCCCAAGGGAGTGTGTAAATTTAGTGTATAATTTTTGTTAGATTTGTGGAGAAAAAACTGAAAGACTAATTAGCAGCATTTTTTTGGTATGAAGGTTAATTATTGACCTCTCATGCAAACCATATATACAATCCATTGCATGAATCATTCAGCTAACTCACTTTTTTTTACTTTAACTGCTCCTTCAATTTAAAGATTTTTTTATTTATCTAATTTTTTTTCCACAAATTTAGCAGAAACAAAGAAGAGAGTTTAGGACCAAGAAAGTAATTGTAAGAGAGTTTAGGACAAAGAAAGTAATTGAAAAAGAGATTAGGACCAAGAAAGTAATTAAAGAGAGTTTAAGACCGAGAAAGTAAATAAAAGAGAGTTTAGAACCAAAAAAGTAATTGAAAGAAAATTTAGGACTGAGAAAGTAATTGAAAGACTTAAAAAACTGTAAATGTCCAAAAAAAACATGAATATGAGTGAGAATTATCAATGATGAATTATATAACATGTAAACATCTGCCAAAGTTGCCTCTCTTTACTTGTTCACCATATTCTTACTTCTGATTCCATTCTATACCTGAACAAACCTCTTATTTATGGAATACTGTTGCTATATTTAGGCTAGTTTTTTTTAATGAGTATTTCTCTCATTTACAAAAGATTTGAAAATGCATTTTAAATGTTAATGTCCAAAAACGCATTGTAAATGTAGTTGTACCTGCAAATGTTGTTGGACCTATTGTTTAGCTGTTAAGCTTTTTTCTGATTGTTGCCATATAAACTTACTTTTTTACAAATACTATCATGGTCACTGCTCAAGTAACCTATTGCCACTTGGTCTTAAGAAAACTCGATCTAGCATGACTCATCATTTAGCTAAGTAACTCATAGCATGACTCGTTATTTGCATCTTTTTACAGTAACTGCTCCTTCAATTTGAAATTTTTTTTATGTAATTTTTTTTTAAAAAGATTGTTGCTTCAGAATTCTAATATTCTTGTTTTCCTGATACATACAATTTTCAGTTTTTTAAGCTTTCTAAAACTTTCTCGATCATAAAGTCTCTTTTTTGTTTTTGCTAAATCCCACCTAATTAGTGGTTTGTTGCAGCTTTGTTAGAAGTAAACTTGTTTAAAAAAAAGAAAGAAACAATATTCAAAATAACAGAATAATTGTTCATAAGTTTAAAATCAGCAAAAGCAATATTAACAAATACAAAATAGTTTATTCGATAGAAGCAACAAAATAACCATAAACAGAAAACAAACAACCAAAAGAATTGCTAACAATTAAACCTATGTGCTGAATCACCAATAAAGTCAGCTAATGTATCATCCAAGGTAAGAAACAATCCTCTAACTTGATGCAACAAAGTATTTGACGCATTGCTGCTGTTTTTAGGATAAAAATACACAATATCCTGAAAAATGTATAATACTTCGATTTACATATGTATATATATTTGTATAAATATACACATATATTTAATACATACATACATACATACATACATACATACATACATACATACATACATACATACATACATACATACATACATACATACATATATGTATGTATATATATATATATATATATATATATATATATATATATATATATATATATATATATATATATATATATATATATATATATATATATATATATATATATATATATATATTAGCACCCTGCGAATCGAATGCTGTTTTCATTCAAAATTTGATTTCAAAAAATGATTAAAGTTTTTTCAAATCATTTCTTTATTTTATTTATTTTTTTTTTCATACATATGACATTAAAAAGTTGATAAAATATATATAACATATAGAAAAATTAATCAGTAAAGAAATTTTGTAATGAAATTTATAAAAATTATTTGCCAATCAGGAATTTAAACAGAGTTCAGTACAAATTAATAAAACATAAACTGTATAATTAAACATCTATAATTTTGCTTCAATACTTTTCGATTTTGCTTTTAAGTAATTTTAAAATTTATAAACTTGTAAGTGCAACAAACTTAAAATAAAAAAATTGTTAATTATTACATTTCAAACTAAAAAATTACTTCAAAAAAATTGGTAGTGAAAGAACTCTTTGAAAAAAAAGTACTTTATTTCTTTATCTTTTGATTCTTTATCTATGGAACCATTTAAAATATGACCATAAAAAGTTACAGGAAAAAGTATTTAAAAACCACACATCTGCTACAAAAAAACAAAAAAACAATTCTGATAACATAATCAAAAAATTATCAAGGCTCTTCATTAGACTCACTCAACCTTGAATAGATACAGTTTTTTAAATTTTGTGCTTGGTGTTTACTCAAGGGCCTTATCTCGAAATTTTGGTGATATGGTCAATGATCTATATAATAGCTTTGAACAAGGTACAAAACAGCAGTTTTTTCAAACCTACAGGCTTGGTCGGGAAGCGGGAGCAATAGCTCTCGATTGCTGACCACGTAAATAATATTTAGTTACAAAAAGCTGGCCAGATTTTTTAGTCGTTTTGAGAACATTTTAAAAAGCAAAAAAAAAAAAGCGCAAAAGATTAATTGGACCGATGAGAAACAATTACAAAAAAAAAAAAAAAAAAAATTAGGCAAATAAAATATCTTTAGACGCGAAAAAACTTAAAGCTAAATAAATTACGTTTAGAACAAATATTTTCGAAACATCGCTTTTTTGTAATTTTTTTTATAAAATTAAGCGATGTTTTTTATATAAAGTAACAACTTGTGATTGTTTAAAAAAGAAACAAATGCTCTTTATTTAGCAAAGTTCGCAAATTTTAGTTTTATTTAAGCTAAATTATTTTATAAATAAAAAAGTTAATTTTTTCAATACCTATTTTATGTTTCGCGTATTTTGAAAAGTTTAATATATTTGAAGCAATTCTTCTTAGTAAGATAAACAAAAGAAATAATTAAATCATTGAATTACTATAGAAATTAAATTAACAAGATAGAAATCAACTAAAAAGGTTAAAAATACTTTGTGACGAGGAGGCGAAACTGCTTCACAATATCGCTGATGATGTTTAGTGAGTGGGCTTTTTAATTTTAATTAGTATTTAAAGCAGAAAAAAGTATAACGAGTTTCAAGGATGGCAACTTAAGCGAAAATAATTAGAGTTGGTAAACCAATATATAGAAACTTTTCTTTATATCTAATTATTTGCTATATATATATTTGTGTTCTGTCGTGACCTCAGGCACGGTGCTTGTTCATCCGCGAGTTACTTTGAATGCGTTGTTTGTGTTTAGTAACCAGAAACTTCTTATATGTTTGTTACATAATTAGTTTTATTAACTATAACGATTATAACTTCATTGAAAACGCAATTATTTTTGTAAGTCTTTGTTTAAATCATAAAAATTGCTTTAAAAGATACATTACGATAAAAAACAGATACACAAAATTACTTTTACATAAAGAATACATACTTTTTAAATAAAAAAATAAGAATATACTAATAAAATCTATAATTTATAATAAACTTTTGAAATTTTGACAATTTAATATATATTCAAAATATTTATTTTTGTAAACAAATAATATATATTTTTAAAACAAGCAAACTAGAAATCTCAAAACGTAACAAATCGTGAATATGACAATTTCTAAAACATTTCAACAGGATACTCTAAAACTTTATTTTGCTAAATCAGCGTATTTTTTGAACTAATAGAATTAGTTTCTTCGTTAATTTAGCAGGTTTTTAGTGTTCGCGAATATTTTTTTTATTCTTTCGCACAAAGATGTTTTGAGAACATTCAAGTTTATTATGTTTCCATGTATGTCCGTAAAACAAAAATTTTTTGTTTCGTACATAAACTTAAATGTTCTCAAAACGACTAAAAAACCTGGCCAGTTTTTCGCAACTAAATATAATTTCCGTGGTCAGTATTCGAGAGCGATCGCTCCCGCTTCCCGACCAAGCCTGAACCTAGCATCACTTTTGATCACTTTAAGGTCAAAAACGACAACAACTTTCTTGTTTTTACTTGTCACTATATTTTACCCTCGAGAGTTTTAGAATTATGCTGTTCATCAGTTGTATCTCTGTATCTCTCTATCTCTTGGCGAGGCTGTTCTCATTAACTCCAACTTTGTGTAAAATCAGCTATCCACACCCAACTAATTCTCATGACATTAAATAGCAAAACTTGTAAAATATTTAGATTTTTTCACTCATCATCAGTCGGATTGGCAGCTCTCAAAAAGTATCAGATTTCTCAATGAAATCCTCCAGTGGGTGTGGAAATGCACTTTAACAGCACTTCTAACTTATTGGGATGGATTAAGAAAATTCTATAGAACATGCTCTAGTTGAGTGCACACAGAAGAAAAACTGTACAAAAGTGCCACCAACTTGTCTAACTGATATGCATGTGCAATTATTAACAATTGTCACTCTTATTTTAAATGCAGTATCTGTAGCCACTACTATTTCAAGTGCAGAAAAAAGTCTTAGTATTGGTTAAGTTTATCCATGCATTACAACTTTTAAAAATTGCCTTCGCTCCATGGATAAAATAGGGATAAGTAAATTTGTTGATGATCTTACTATGCAGTTGAAAATCAGTTTGAATTAAGTGAAGACGTTTTTCTTATTGCTACCTTATTAGACCCTTAACTTAAATCAGCAATGTTTGCCTTAGCAGAAATGCAAATTGTGAAATCTTTTTTAATAGCATCTGAAAAAAAGCATGATTTAAGTATTTCTATGATTCCAAAGAAATTCAACTTGAAGGAACTAATTTCTCATCAGAAACAAATAGAATTTTAGATAAAATATTTGAACATGTTTCTAAAAATTATGCCCTACCAGAAAGAAGAACTCTAGATCAGCAATTAAAATTTGAAATTACTGCAAACAACAAAGAGAAAACATTAGAATGTTCAGATTAAAATGAGCTTGTGTCATTGTATATTGTAATAAAAAAATATAAATTTGGATTTCCTTAAACTAGTGATTCGATTTGAGAATCAACTTGCAAATCAAGTGCTGCTTCAATTTGAGATTCGATTCAAAACTAAAAATACTCATTTGCAGGGCTCTATACAAATATATATATATATATATATATATATATATATATATATATATATATATATATATATATATATATATATATATATATATATATATATATATATATATATATATATATATATATATATATATATATATATATATATATATATATATATATATATATATATATCAGGGGATGTGATGAATAAAATCACCCAGCATGATATTTCCTCATGTGAAGTCCTGAAAATCAGGCGAAAAAAAAAATCTTTTTTTTTGATGCATTAGTCTATCTTTCTAATTCAAACTGAATGGGCAATTTAATTATCATCAAGTGAATTATTTTTTATATAATTGATTACTTAATAAATATATAATAGACTTATATAGTATACTTATACTAATATAATATATATTATAGTGTAAGTATAAATCTATATAATATCTATATAATATAATATAATATAATATAATATATATATATATATATATATATATATATATATATATATATATATGTATATATATATATATATATATATATATATATATATATATATATATATATATATATATATATATATATATATATATATATATATATATATATATTCGGGTGTCCCAAAAAACAACATTTTTGAAAATAATCTGCTCTTACCCCATAAATGTGTTCTATCTAATGCAAAAACACTAGGTTTAAATTTTTTTTGAATAAAAAATATTTTAAGGGGTCCCTCAAGACCCTCGAATATTTAATGGGTCCCTAATATTTTTGAAAAAAAAGTTTTTCAAAAATATGTCAATCTGGTACTCAAATGAAGCGAAATTAATTACATATATTTTTATAATATTGTTTGTGAGCACGCTTCTTAAAGTTTCAATAAACATTGCATTTAACAAATTATAATAAATAGTAGAATCCCATTTACTCAGACTCTGAAGAGATTTTTATTTTGAAATTTTCTGTTATAGTTCTAATATTTAGCTTCATTTAACCTCAACTTTTTTAATAAATAGACTTTATTATAAGCTTGGCCAATTTGAAGATATTAGTAAAAGTACTTAAATTATATTTGACACAAAAGTATTTAATACTTTAACATTTTGAATTTAATTTGATGTTTTTGAATTTTAAATGTAATAGTCATTTTAAGCATTCAAAGTTTGGAATTGTTATTGAAGGGTTGCAAGTTTTGATTTTTAAAATTTTTGATATTTTTTTTTATTTTATTACATAGACTTCTATGCAAAGTAAAAGTCCTAGTTAAACGAAGAAAAAATCTGTGCAACTTAGCGAATGGTTCTACTTAACCAGGGTACAATTAAGGGATAATATGATAAAGTTCAACGGGAATTTAAAAAAAAAACTTTATGTTGAATTTAACTTTCAAATAGAAAAAATAAATCATTGGTTCTCTTGCTCTGAGATTTTAAATCTTAATTTATGCATGAGGTACTTTACAACAAATATAACTTCGTTGGTATTATTTAAGTATTGTTTAACAATATGCAAACTATATTGTTTAATTAAACTTGACAGCAAAAAAATTAAACATAGACTTGACAGCAAAAAAATTTTACTGAAAATATTTTCTATAAAATGAACTTATAATTTTCTCCCCCGTAAGTTCATTTCTCAGGTGAACTTGATTTTTTACTCTCAAAGTGAAATTAGCAAGCGTTAATTGTTGCACAGGGAAGACCATTTATGGGCGTGTTTCACGTGCACAGAGCAATTGTTTCTGCTTCATCACAAGGCTTTATATAATAATAATAATAATAATAATAATAATAATAATAATAATAATAATATATATATGTGTGTATGTGTATATGTATATATATATATATATATATATATATATATATATATATATGTATATATATATATATATATATATATATATATATATATATATATATATATATATATATATATATATATATACACACACACACACATATATGCATATATTATGTAATATTGACATGTATTTATGGCATATGTATTTATACTAAATATAGATATAATAAGATTGAAATCTAAATACATTACACTGTCTGGTTTATTTTCATCACCATCAAGAGTGAGAACCATAATTGCAAAAACTTCATCTGGTATTAAAAGCATACTTTCCTCATATCTATTAGATACAAGAGACACTAGTGCACTTTTCATAAGGTTTACCTGTGGTATGCTACGCTCAAATGTTAATTTAACCTAAAAAGAAAAATAAAAAATGTCCTCATTACAATCAAAATTACAAAAAAAAGTTTTTGATTTATTTTTTGTTTTCACTAAAACTACATTATATGCACTCAAAACTATCAATATTATTAAAATAATAAAAACAATATTATCAAACAATATTATCAATACCAAGAAAATTTTATAACACTAAATCTTTTGTGATATTTAATGATTTTATCAAACATGATTTCCTATAAGAATATAACTAGAAAATATTCCTATTTTTTCATAAATACTAGCGCTGAATTAATGAAGACCTGTTTTCTGATATCCATACCAAATGTACATTATGAAATGGGTATAAAATTCAATACTGTAGTATGTGCAAAGGCATTTCCAAAAAGAAAAAAATCTAGCACAAAATATTGAAAAAATGACATATTAAAATGGCAAAAAATGGTATATTAAAAAAAAAAGGCATTAAAAAAATTAAATTTTTTTTTTTTTTTTGAAGTTGTACAATAAATCCTAAAATTGTTGCTCAAAAATGTTTTAACTTGTGCATTGAAAAACTTTAAACATTAACATAAGTAAAATCAATTGTTTAAAGACTTATTGGAACAACCACATGTTGTTGTAACAAGTTATTACAAGATGTTCATTAAAGTGAGATGCATTGTGTGAATATCAATGTGCTTTAAGTTATCTAATAAACCTAAGTAATGATGTGAAAGTTGAAATTGGTAAATTTTCTAAATTTTTGTGTATTTATAATAATTTAGTAAATTCGAAAGGTTTTCATTTAAAATTATTTTACCAACATGAAAACTGCTAAAACATTTATGTAAATTAGATAAAATTTATGTAATTTTAATTTGAAGTGGAATATATTTTTGAATAAATTAATTAAAAATGTGTAAATTTAAATTAATTTATTGTTACATTTATTTTTAACTTAAATTCATAAGTAAACTAAAATAAATGAAGGAAAAAAAAACTGAAAAATACATCACTGAAGTATTATTTTTCACAAAACTTATTAAAGCTGACAAAACTATTAAAAGTATTCAGCTATTGGAGAAATAATTTTCAAAAACTTTGGACAATCAGGTAATTCACAGGAGTTTGGAAATGTGTATGAAAAAGCATAGAAACATTATAAATGCCTGAAAGAAAAACATTTCAAGAAAAATGGATATGTATTCTTTTAAAGGTATCAAAAGATATTATGAAGTAGAGTTGGCAAAAACCCGGGTTTTTGAGCAAAAACCTAACCCAACTGGGTTTTTAGGTGGGTTATTGGATTTTTGGGTTTTTACTTAAGTTGCGTACAAATCATTAGTAACAAATTTTGATAAATATATAGTTATTTAAAAGCTATTTTTCATTTTTTAAAGTTATATTTTTCTAATATAAATTTATTGTTAAACTGAGTTATCTTTTCAAATTTAAAATAGAATTGAATTATAAATTTAAAATAGAATTAAATTAAAATTTAAAATAGATCTGAATTATATGTCTTTATTTGACATTAACATGTCAAAGTATAAATTTGAGGAAAGAAATTAGACTGATGGGTAGAATGAATTGACCATATTAAGTGATCAACCAAGTAAAGTAATATGTAATTATTGCAAGGAGAGCATAATTAAAAAAGTAGTGAGAGTTAAGATTCATTTTGATAAATTCAGAAGTAAGAAAAAAGGAAACGCTAAGAATTCCGCAGAAGTATTTAGCAATACATCAGTTTTAGAGTCAAGACCATCTACATCTGCAGCATCCAACAAGTCTAACAAATCAGAAGATAATGATCAAGATTACTTAAGCTTTATTAGTAAATCTTCGCCAATTGTTCATTTTACTGCAATGACGATGCAACAGCAAACATCCGTTTCTAAATTTGTTACTTCAACAACAAATAATCAGAAGAAAAGGTTTCTTTTTTTCAACAAATATACAATTCAACATAGTAAAAAAACTTGACTTGACTACATATAGAATAGAAAACAGATATATTTAGAACTCTTATTAAAGGTAAACAAAGAAATAATCAATATAATGAAATGTGATCTTGATAATGATTGTGCTGTAATCCTAATTCAAGATGATTGGAATACATTTAGTAATGATTTTATAATTGCTCATAGTATGCAAGACGATACAAAGATGATATTTTACAGAGGTTTAAGAAAACAATTGTTCCATATCATATTCTGGCAAATTTTACAGATCCAAAATGTCAAGGTAACCATAAAATCTGATCAAATTAAAACAAATACTGATAAAAAATTTCTTTTAAGTTTACTACTCTTATAACTGTACCTATTAAGCTGGGGAATGGCTGAGGAATGAAAGAACCTTGGATAGAAGTCAAGAAGAAGCTGAGGAATGGTTAAATGAAGCCTGATTTAGGAAATATTTAAGAAAATTAGGAATCTTTTAGGAAGAGGAAAAGCAAAAATGGTTGTAGGAATTTACATTTACAATTTACATTAAGGCCAAGATAAACAATTGCTGATGACTAAGTTGTTTTAACTTTGTTTTAAACCTTTAAGTTTGAATATTTCTACTCCAAATAAAAAAAATCTCATTTATGATTCACTAAACTTCTTGTTTTTATAACAATTTTTGAGCAGCATCAAATCTTGAGTGTGAATGGAAATTAATTTATGAATAAAAATATTATAAATACAAAAACCCATTAAGTTGGGTTACCAAAGACCAAAAACCCATTAAGTTGGATTTTTGGTGGGTTTTTGCTCTTGGGTTTTTGGGTTTGGATTTTTGGGTGCCAACCCTGTATGAAGTAGAGGATGCTTGCATAACAGGAACATGTGTTTAAAAACAAATAAATTTTTTTAAAGACCTGGGTGATAAGATAAAAAAGAAGAGGACAGAGGAACCTGTCAATTATATAAACAACTTTATCGCTAATACCCAGAGTTGAATGTTAACCAGTTATTGGCTCACCTTTTATAAAGAGTCAATACACAAAATAATAAGAGTATTGTTTATATTGGCAATGCACTTTTTAAAACCATATGGAAATAGCACAATGAATCCATACCTTTAATGTATTCCCTAACACTAAGTAAGAAGCAAATGAGAAAATTAAGATATCTTTTTACTTCAAAAAGAATCTATTTTCCAACAACCAACTAATTGCTTCAAGGAAAAAAAAAACTGCATACTACAGCTAGTCATGTTTTGGTTGGAAAAGGTGCTTCTGTTCAATACAAAGAACTAGCAAGAATGACAACTGATTCTGTTATGAATATAATTAAAGATTCTTTTATTCCAGAAGATGGTGATGAGTATCAGATATGTTTTAATGATGATTGTGGCAAGCAGTGCAACAAGTATCAAAAGAAACGATTGAAAGCAAATCAAATATGTTTCAACATGGTCTTATTCCCCTGAAACTAATACGCCATCGAGATAGTAAAAATATGATACTTTGACAAAATTATTTACCAAATCCATCAGGATCATTATGTTCTGTGCTTTTGATAAAGGAAAAAAAAATAACTTAAGATTTGCTAGATCTTATTGTCCCAATTACTGATAATGTGCAAGAAGATTTAAATGCTGAAGGAATGTGTTTTCTGTGATTTTATAATGATCAAGATGAACATTACAACAATGAAGGATTTAAAATTTAAACAATCCATCAGTGGATTAGGAGGTGCAGATTGTATACTTTGCAAAACAAAGACTACTGAATGGACATGTATTGAGAGAGTTGAGAGAAAGATTTCGGATTGATTGATCAACAGAAGAAACATGGATGCTGTTCATAAAACTAGTTAATAAGGATGGCATCATTCTTACTAAAACTGGATTTTGAATACATTAAAAGTACTGACTAAAAAACCGCAAACCAAATCTGATCAAAATATCAGAATATGTATTAAACATTCATATATAAATTAGAGGTGTACCGGATATTTTTGCTGGATATGCAGTATATTGAACTTTTCTAAAGTTTTAAGTGTTTATGAAGAAAAAACAAGTCTAGCTAGTCTACAATATATAGTATTCAAGATCTTACTTTAAAAAATTAAGAGAAAAAACTGTATGATATGGGATGAGTACTGACGAAGTATAGAAAATAGTAATTAAAAAAAAACAAAAATTTGGCTCTAAAAACGATTTTTCCTTATACATTATTAATGCATATACCTGTGTTATACCAGTTTTTTATTGATTTTATTTTTTTAAATCTTGAACACTATTTAATGTAGAATAGCAAGACTTGTTTTTTCTTCATAAACACTTATAGACCTTTTGAAAAGTTCAATATTCGGCATATCTGGCAAAAATATCCGGTACACCTTTAATATAAATGGGATTACCTGGTTTTTAACTGTTTTACTGTATTAATGTCATTTAGATTATAGAAATTAAGTTAAAAAAATAGCACCACTTGGCAAACCAATACAGAATGCAAGACACAAGGTTATTACTAAAATAAAAAAAAGCACTGGACTGCGATTATATATGTCTTGCAACTATGGTGAGAATAGAGAGAAATCTACAACAGGGTCACAAGTTCATAGATTTTTGTCTGTAGAACTAACTTCTATCAAAAAAAATTTATGCATTCCTATTTACAAAGATAGCATGTTACTAATTATATTCTCAAATCAGTATAATACTTTGTATAGTTTCTTGTCGACATAAAATTAAAATAGACAAATTTTAAGAGTTATGTAATAATGCTACACTTAATATTATTACAAAAATGATGGTTATGGCCTCAGCAATTTAATGAAAGAAGGTCTAGAAATAAATATTAAAGATAAAAGAAACTATTTAAAGCTTTTCTCTTGTAAGACATTGCATCTTTGATATATTTACTTCTTTTAAATATTTAGTCATTTTAAATACAGAAACCAAGTTTTAGATGTCATACTTTTTTTTTTTGGTGGGTGAAGGGGAGTTGGGGAACACCCTATGTGCATGTATGTTAAATATTTGCAAAGAAAAACTTTACTATCTCTGGAAATCAAATAACTTGTTTATCTTTTATCATATCTGTAAATCCATTTAAATATACTAAACATAAATAAAAATCAACAATCAACAAAACATCAACAATATTGTTAATTAGTTATAATTAACTTTAGATGTCATCATCTGAAAGATCACAAAAATATAAGATCTGAAAGATCACAAATATATAAGATTATCTGAAAGATCACAAATATATAAGATCATCTGAAAGATCACAAATATATAAGATCATCTGAAAGATCACAAATATATAAGATTATCTGAAAGATCACAAATATATAAGATCATCTGAAAGATCACAAATACATAAGATCATCTGAAAGATCACTAATCTATTTTAAAGATTGCCAGAAAACATAATATAAAAAAATATTAAAGTAACTTAAATATAATACCTCTGGTAGTCCATTAACTTCGGCAAGTTTTCTGCTTAAATTATTACAATCAACTTCATCTCCATTAACAGCTACTAAAACATCACCTGGAAATCAAAAAATTTAACCATAATATTAAGTTTATTTTGTGGCTCTCTGGCTTTGTACATAATTTTTATTTTAAACATTATTAGCCGCATCTTTGATAAAAGAAGAGGTGCCTATCTGTGAAACGCGCTTCATGTCTCATAAATTAGAATTTTTCCTAGATTTTTCCTAATATAATCATTTTTATTCACATAATCACTTCTTTTCATCAGACCTACTTTCCTGAGAACAGTTTTTATTTATTATTACAAAAATTTGATACAAAAAGTTATTGACTAACACTAAACTCCATTATTTTTTTTATTTTTTTATCTCAAAATTTAAATAAAGAGACTTTACAATTATTGTTAATAGCATCATTAATAAAGCCAAGATTAACATTCCTTCCATTATACATGGGTCTAATCTTATTACTTCTCCTTAGGCAGAACCATTTGCAAAAAACTTTTTTTTAAATTTATCTCTAATAACCATACTCTTTCTGAGATCCAAGACAAACAAGTTACAAGCCCATTGTTTATATCTTAACTTCCATTATTAAAGTTATTTCTCACTTAAACCTTTCTACTCATTATGGTCGGGACAACATTAGTCTAACAAAGGTGTACTAACTCTCTTATCTTTTTAACATCTCATTTTGAATCTAACAACTTACTCTTTGATATTCAATAAAAACTCTATAATTTGTCTGCTAATTTACAAGTAAATACAAGTTAGCAAACACTAACTTCTTCTCTGACTCAAGCGTTCAACAAAAATAAGAATCATTTAGTTATTTTAAGTTCATTCTAAACTATAGATTTATAATGAGGAGAATGAAGTTGTTACTTTAGTAAGTTCATTAGAATTGTTTATGATTTTGTGGAAACTATTTTTTTACCAACTTTAATACAATTTTTGGTTTTCAGTCAATCATTAATAACAGGCCAAACAAATATAAGTTTACCTATAATCTATGTAGACCTCTGTCTAGAAGTTCTTTGTATTCTGCAACCTTTAACTAACCATTTCTCAACAGCTCAAAACAAAAGCATGTTTATTTTCCTGCATAATCTGACAGACCAACTTCAACAACTTCAAAAATTTAAATGCTTAACACAAAAATTCATGTAAATTGCACTCTATTTGTTGCTTTAAAGACATTGATTTTAATTTTCAAAATCCTTTTTCTCTATCATATCATTACTGTTGCTATTTTTTTTTATTTAACTTTAACCTCACAATTCTAATTGCCTACAATTTCAAAGTTATAATAATAATTTTATAGTGCATGAAAGGCTTGAAAATAATAAAGATTAACAATAGCAGGAAACCAATTTTAAATGTAATCCCTCTACTGTGAAAGCTTAGGGTTTGTAGAGGGCGGAGAACTTTAACTTGTAAATTAAAATAAAAGTTATATAATTTATTCATATAATTTATTTTAGTCCTGATAAATGGCTCTTACTTTAAGCCTTCTCAAAGACTGACCATTTAAAAAGATATACATGATATTAAACAGTTTACTAAATAAAGCAACTGTTTCTTAGCTACTTTCTAGATGTCAATAGTACATTTCATTCTATGCCATTCTTAGCTTTACAAGGTGCTAGAACGATTTCAAGTGTATTTGCCGAAATAATTTATTCTACTGTCATTCATTTCAATGAACTGTTTGGTAATTTTTTTCAAAATAAAATTTCTTTGGCTTTTGCTCTGATTTGACAGGACCAGTCAATGCACCACCCAATTTAAGCTTTTCAGTAATTACTGAAACATGTAATGTTTTAGTTATTACTCTTTGCCTCTGCGTAACTTTGGTTTTAGACTCATTGTCTTGCTTGATTCCAGGTATTTTTTTGTCACCTTTAAAGTTTTATTAAATTCCTTATCTGATCTAAGTTCTGCAAATCTATTGCCACCTATTCCACCTATTACCAGCTCCAGTTGGTAGATATTGATATTAAAATATTGATAATGAAATGTTGGATAATGAAATGCTTTTAAAGCACAAAAATTTACCATACCTATTTCCTAGAAAGGGCACATTCTTGCTACCCTTGCCAACCCAACAAAAAGGACAGGAGTAGCAATTGCTACCCTAGGCTACCCCTTTCCGGCGTGCATATATATATATATATATATATATATATATATATATATATATATATATATATATATATATATATATATATATATATATATGTATCTATATATATATATATATATATATATATATATATATATATATATATATATATATATATATATATATATATATATATATATGTATATATATATATATATATATATATATAATCGAATTCACTCCCAACAAGGCTGCAACTACTAAGTTGGGAATTACTAGAAAACAAAGAATAGAGTTATAGAGCAAGAAAATGGTTGACAGAACATAGAAGTCAGGAAAACATGAAGATAGGAGAAAGTTCCAAAGGGATGAAGTGCGGGGAAAAAAATTAGACAATTAAAAGTTTTTAGAATATGCATGGACAATAGCAGTAAATAGTTAAGACATTGCTGAATGAAAAGTCAAACGAAAACAAGTATTGGTCAGTGAAACTAGAGACAATAGCTCCTTTGAGCAATAACCATGATAATAATTGTAGAAAGAAGAAGTAGTAATATAATTAAACTTCACAAAGTACTGCAAATGCTAACAGAATGCTAAACACTAATGCTACAGAAGTGAGATCAGATTCACGATTGGCTGCCTGTTCTAAGTTATCGAAAAAAGAGGATTTTTTGTCAAGACAGAAGTATAAAGTTGAGCCATCAGCAAATAGAGCCACTAAAACACAGCTACAAATTAATAAAAATTAAATATTAGAAAATAATTGAAAAAAATTTGATCCAAATTGAAAAAAAGTTGATCCAAATTAAAATTGAAAAAAAGTTGATCCGAACCATGATGAAATGTGTTTGTGAAAATGAAGAAAAGTGAAAAAGTGAAAAAGAAAAAAAGGCCTTTTTCTAAATGTACAGTTTTTTATCAACCTTTTTTCATCCAAACCCCAATCTTGGTTGAGATGGTGTCTCAATAATCAGGTAAAAGGTCTCCTAAGTTTAAAAAATCTTCTAAGGTTACATCTCTTTATCCTGCTTGCCACTTTTTTACTACGGATTCTATTCTTTATCTCTATAAATCTCTAATCCATTCTTGCAGGGAATACTGCTGCCATATCTGGGACGGATCTTTGAATGATGCCCTTTCTCTTTCAAACAAGGCACAAAAATGCATTGTAAACATAGCCGAACCTGCTCTTGCAGCCAACCTTTTTTTTTTTTTTTTTTTTTTTTTAACATCTTCACTTCCAACAAGGCTGCAAGCAACCACTAATTAGAGTTGGAAGTTACTGGAAGAGAAAAGACTAAACCTGTAGAGCAAGATAACGATTGACTGATGACCTAAAAGATTGCAAATTATATGAATCAGGGAAGCAAGATGAAGGAAGCGAATTCCAAAGAACTGATGTTCGAGGAAAAAAACTAGAAGAATAAGAGTTTTTGAAGCACTTAGGAACAGTCAAAAAAAAAGGATGAGACTTAATTGAATGGCGAGTAACACAAAAATGAATTTTAGTAGATGGCACAAGGGACGCTAGCTCTTTAGAGCAGTGCCCATTATAGTATTTGTAGAAAAGAGAAAGAGAAGCAACATCATGAAAATGTGACAAAGGTTGGAGATTGGCTGCCAGAGCAGGTCCAACTATGTTTACAATGCGTTTTTGCACCTTGTCTAAAAGAGAAAGAGCATCATTAGAAGATCCGCCCCAGATGTGGCAACAGTATTCCATACAGGGACGGATTTGAGATTTATAGAGATATAGATTTATAGAGAATAGAATCTGGAGTAAGAAAGTGTCGAGCTCGATAAAGAGATGCAACCTTAGCAGATGCTAATTTTGCAATGGATTTGATATACCATTTAAAAGAAAGATCAGAAGTAAGAGTTAATCCTAGAAGATGAATGGTAGATGACTCATCTAGTACATTACCATTCATAAATATAGGAAGATCTAAATTATTACGATAACAATTGGCCGAATAAAATTGAGTTTTATCTGAATTAAAGTTCACCAGCCACTGTGAGCCCCATGCTGTAGCAGAAGTGAGATCCTTTTCAAGCTCAGATACCCCCTCCAGCCAATCAAAGAGTGTAGGCTTCTTATCATGACAAGAGTAAATGGTAGTGTCGTCAGCGAATAATACCACCTTAGATGTGAGAACATCTGGAAGATCGTTAATGTAAATTAAAAAGAGTATAGGGCCAAGGATTGAACCTTGAGGAACCCCTGAAGTTACAGGATGTGAAGAAGAGTGTTGTCCATCGAGGACAACTTTTATACTATGATTGGAAAGAAAGGACTCAATAATCTTAAAGATGTTACCAGATACACCATAAGAAGAAAGCTTATGGAGAAGACCAGCATGCCAAACTTTATCAAAAGCTTTAGAAATGTCAAGTGCGATAGCCTTAACCTCTCCACCTCTATCTAATGCACGGTAAAACCTATTGGTTATTACTGTTAGCAAATCAGCTGTAGAACGAGAAGATCGAAATCCATATTGATGATCAGAAAGTAAGTTATTTGATTCAAGATGAGAGATTAAGTGTTTGTTGATTAAAGATTCAAAAACCTTGCTTATGACAGGAAGAAGACTAATGGGACGGTAGTTAGATGAATCAGATCGCTCTCCAGAATTTTTGAAAATAGGGATAACAGATGCTGCTTTCCAGCATGATGGAAAACAAGACTCTGATAAGCACTTGTTAAATAGTTTTGAAAGTATGGATGAAAGCTCCGAAGAACACTTCTGCAAGACTACAACAAGAATGTTGTCAGGACCACAAGCTGTTGAAGAGTCTAAGCAGGAAATTACTTTTGATACAGAAGCTGAAGTGATGCGAATGTCAAGCAAGGGATCAACCTGTTTGACGGCTATGTCAGGTAGAACGTAACTAGTGGAATCAAGAGATGATATTGATGAAAAGTTCTTAGCAAACAATTCAGCTTTGTCTTTAGGTGAGGTGACAAAGTCTGAACCATACAAGAGAGAAGGAATAACAGATTTGCCCTTATTATTGATACTGTTAAAGATTCTCCAGAAGTCTCGAGAGCCTAATTTTTGTGATGAGATACGAGATTTTATGACCTGAGAATAGCGAGCTTTGGCGTCAGACAAAACCTTTTTAAAAGGGTTTCTGGCGATAGTGAACAGATGTCTGTTTTCTGGAGAATTGTTTTGCTGATAGATATGGAAGTAACGGTTTCGATTAGAAATTGCTGCAGCGCAATGTGAGGAAAACCAAGGAGAAGAGTGAGGCTTGACCTGGAATCGTCGAGAGGGAATAAAAGATTCCATGCCAGCCTGAATCCACAAAGTTATGTAAGAAGCTTATTTGTCAGCAGGAAGACGAAAGATTTCTACCCAAGGGCCATCACGAAGAAAATCACGGAAAGAGTCCCAGTCAGCTTTAAATTAGTTGTAAGAGGTACGATGATAGAGGAATTCAAATGATGAGGAAGAATGAGATAATAGTTTTAGAGAGATCAAACTGTGATCAGACGTACCTAAGGTTAAATGTGTAGAAACTGAGGACTGACTAGGATCAGAAACAAGACATAAGTCAAGTAGAGAAGGTAGATGATTTGGGTTGTCTGGAAAGCGAGTTGGAAAGTTGACTATTTGAGTTAGAGATTGAGAAAGGCAAAAGTTGAGGGCCTTAACGCCAGCAGTGTCACTGACACTAGAGCCAAGCCAATCGGTGTGATGGGCATTAATGTCACCAACAACGACGATATTGGCCGATGGATAAAGAGAGAGGGTTTGGTCAATTTGATCAGAAATAACATCGAGAATAGTGCAATCTTGGAATGAAGGAGAGCGATATAGAACAAAGAGAAAGGTGATAGAGTGAAGTGGTGCTAAACGAAAGTACATAAAAGAATAGTCTGTAGATTCAAACCTAGTTTCACGACAAATGGGTGAGTTCTTACGAATGTAGATGCCCAGGCCAAGCATGTGATTATTGGAGTCTTTACGAATTAAAGGAAGATAACCATCAACACTAAGATCACAAGATGGGACAGCCGAACTCAAATTAGTCTCACAAAGAGCAAGTAGGTCTGGTGAACTTTGCAAGAGATAAGACTCAACAGAAGAAAAGTTACTTCGAAGACCACGAATATTAGTAAATGATAGGTTTAGAGAACTTGGTGATGACGATGGTTTTTTGTGTTTTTTAGTTTTAGGTACTTTAGTCATTTTAAATTTATAAAGAACTTGACTCAAGTATAGATAGTACTCAGTACACTATTTAACAACTAAGCAATAGCCTCATTACTATTAATAAACCCTAAGCCGTAACAAAGGGCTCCAAATGTGGCCTCTACAATGCACACCAAAAGTATGAACAGGGACACCATCCATGCGCAACATGGCACTGTTAGTACTCTGATATTTTTTCGGTTGTTGATGGAATCAGCCTCTCTGAGAGCTACCACAGAATTCAAGAAACCTGACTACGAGCCGGCCTCAGAACCATAAAACTGAGTTTTAGAGCTGTACCCTCATTGGGAGATAATAGAATGAGTTGCCCAGTCATACAAATAGAGACACAAGCAATACCCACGCATTGAGTCAAGAAGATCCAGCGTTCAACATCCTAAACTGGAAACAATGTATTAAAAATACATCTGCGCCAGCCTAATAGATGAAGAAGGGGTGCGAGACTGGTCAACAGATAAAATCTGTTTACCCCTTAATTCTTTGCCTAGGAGGCCTTCTACAAGACAGTAGCCAGATGCATTTAACATCTGCCCAAGATGAGTATTTTTGAGACACCATCTCTAGCCTTTACTCAACCAAGAGCCCCAAGGCAGGGGGTGTTTTAATTCGGAGTTAACTTCTCCTAGCCTTTGCCTAAAAAAGCGTATCCTACAAGGCAGCAGGACATAAAGCAGGTTGTACTGGGTTACATGTTGCCAGTAGCAGGAAAACCTGACCTGCCTTTAAATATATATATATATATATATATATATATATATATATATATATATATATATATATATAAATATATATATATAAATATATACATACACACATATACATATATATATATACATATATATATATATATATATATATATATACATATATATATATATATATATATATATATATATATATATATATATATATATATATATATATATATATATATATATATATATATATATATATATATATATATATATATATATATATATACAACCTTCAACCATGTCAAAATATCATAATGTTGCTTTTCTTTCACTTTTTTATAAATACTATAATAGGTGCTGCTCTAAATAGCTAAATGCTCTAGCATCTCTTGTGTCATTTACTAAAATTCATTTTCCTGTTACTCGCATTTCAATTAAGTCTCATTCTTCTATTGTGACTGTTCCTAAGTGCTCCAAAATTTCTTGTTCGTCTAGTTTTTTCTTTGAGCATCAGTTCTTTGGAATTCGCTCCCTTCATCTTGTTTACCTGATTCATATAATTTGCAATCTTTTAAGCCATCTGTAAAATATTATCTTGCTTTATAAACTTCATCTTTTCTCTTTCAGTAACTTCCAACTCTAATAGTGGTTGCTTGCAACCTTGTTGGAACTGAAGATGTTGAAAAAAAAATCACAAAAAATAAAAAAAAAATTTAATAGTTTTCAAAGTTTGTTGTATTTTTCAAATAAAACTATTTGCTGTGTTATTATTTTTTTATTCTAACCATTATTAACTTCTTCATCTATATTAAAGTTTTCATTAAAATATTGATCTTCTAAAAAATATAATATTTTTGATAAATATTGTTTTCCTAAACAGATATGTTATCATTTTGTCACTTCTTTTACTTATGTCAAAAACTAAAGAATATGTTTTATTCTTAGATCTAATAGATAAAGTCGATTTATAATTAGATTTGATAAGTACTTTGGACATGTAAACACATCAAACAAATTGATTTCCTTGGAGGCTTTGTAAGCATAATGTAATCAATACCTTTTAGTGATTTTGCTGTAACATTCTTATGCTTCTTCACCCAAAGCTTTTTCGGGAACAGGAGAATTTGAAGCAATTTCTCCTTTACATGCTAATATTTAACGGACTGTTGCTGGAGTTTTGAATGTAGGTAATTTCATGTCAATTCAAAATAATGAAAAAAATATCACCCCATGATTTGGACTAACTAATGTTTATGTGTTATGCGGTTTATGAAAATTAGAAAAAATCTGATAATTGAAACCTCCTACTACTTATGGTTCTTGAGTTATTCAGGTTTCCATTATTTCATTTATACTGACTGAGACATTTTTTGCAACATGCATTTTTGATTTTAAATTGCAATCATCCCTCATCCTCCAAAAGTAGACAACAAAACTTGAGACTATAAAAACAATTCAAAAAAGGCAATTAGAGATCAGCCTCTTCAACTGCATTTACCCCTCAGTTTTGCGGAGATGAACATAATATTATTTTTTTTTAAATTGCAACCTAATGATGTACTAACAGTATCCATCAATTGTACTAATACATCAAATATGATGTACTAATATATCAATAACAATATTTGTTCAAGTTAAGAGGTTTTGAAAAGATTACAAAGAACCCTGAACATTTCTTAAAATATGCTTTAATTCTTATTCAACCAAACTATTATATTTAAAAAACTACATAATAAATGATTTGTAACTCTAAAACAAAAATACTCGAAAAATACAAACATCGATATAGGAAATACAAAACTTAAAATTTGATATGATATATATGGCATAGACCAGAATAATGGTCTACTACTTATAAATTTTTGTTTATACTACCAAAAAAAAAAAAAAAAGCAAGAAAAATTAAACATTTAAATCTCTACCTACAAAAACATCTTCTGAAAAAAAAGTTTGACTAGATGGAACTATTCCCTGAACAAGAATAGAATCTTTTGATCCACTGTAATCCTCTAATGTTATTTCATTATTTAAAACCTGGCCATACTCCAAACCAGAAATTATACCAAACATGTTTTCTAAATCTATAAACCCAGGAGCAAGTTTTGTAGTTAAGGGAATGATTATATCTTTTCTAAATGCTTTAGTACCCACAACCTCTAAGTTATTTTTACTTTTTGAAAATGATGGATGGAAATGTATACTATTTCGCCTGCTTTTTAGATTACCATCATTTTGTTCTTCTTTTAAACCTCTCCTTGCAAATAAAGGTGTATTTTTTATGGCATGCTTAATTATTTGCGGTACACTTTGTTCCCTCAACGAACGGAACAAATTACTTTCACTAATATCAGGTGCTTCACTTAGTGAGCCATATGAAACTTGATTTTCAATATATATAAGGTCGCCAGTTTTTTCAATTTCTTGAATCCAAGGCCATTTGATATTTTCATATCTAGAAAAAAAAATGAGTTTCATTATTTTGGATTATAAATTTTTGGATTTATTACAGATAAAAAAAATTATGCATAAATAATAAAAATTATGTTTAATGACCGAAAAAGATCTTTCAAATAAATTTGGCGCACAAATTTGCTTGACAACTCAGACATATTGTATGTTGGCAAACTTCATCAAGGAAATTCTTTTCACAATTAATTCTTACAATTTATTGTTAAAAATTAATTTAAAAATCATTGAACACAATTTTAATATAGGCTATATAAATATATATGACATTTTATATTAAAATTGTCAATGTGCTTCATTGTTAGCTATATATGCATAGCTATTAATGTGCCTTATTGTTAGCTATGCTAGATAAGAATAAGACATACTATAAAAAAATTGTCTTATTTTTGTTAAATACTTCAAAATAACTGCCTTATTTTGTAAGTACTTGTACTGTTACTTATAAACAAAAAAACTAATCACATTATAAAAAACTCTAAATTAGAAAAAGTTAGCAAATAAGTTAGGTCAAGCACTTTTTAACATTTCTGATAGAACTGCGTTGAAATTTTTCTGATAAAGTATAGTCTGTCAAAGTTTTCCAGAAATTTAGAGTTATAGCATTACAGAAAGTATTGCTGTGGTATTTATATTCTGTTATTTTTTATATTTTTGTTTCAATATTGATTAAATACAAAAATAGCTCTTTTGAGCTGATAACTTACTTATTTCATTATTGCTTATATTTAAAAGAGCTATGGAATAAAGATCATTACTAAATACAGCTAAATAAAATGCTTTCAATTTTTTGAAAACAGTCCAAATCCTCCTGTAACAAAAACATACAACCATTAGCTTAAAGTTATTATACACACTGTTACAAATTATGCAATCAAACATAATTTCGAAATGAACCTTTTTGAATGCAATGTGTATGAATCTATATTAAAATGTTATAGGTATGAAAAAACTATAATACTTGAAAATTTTGATAAAATCAAAAATAAAATACAAGTTAGAGATTTTCTAATTTTTGGATAACTCTGTTTGCCAAGATTTTTCTTAATATAAATCGTTATATTAATAACTTGTTAATTCTTTGAGTATGCTAAATAGAATAAACAAATATAGATTTATGCTGCAGTTTTTTCACAACCACGTTTGTTTTTAGACCCTTTAAGATATAAAAGTACAATAATTTACCAATAAAAACATACTCATTTGAATATTCAAAATATTTCTTCACGGAATTTGAACTTCTGTTTTTATTCTTTTTTAAAGCTGAAGTTTTGTTTTTTGATATCATTTTTGTACTTGTTAAACTCAATATTGTATTGATCCTTTTAATACAATTGTCAACAACCGAGATTCCATTATACAATGGATTGCATAGAAACGAAAACAAATTATATACCGTGTGAGCAGAGCAAATTATATATTAACTCATAATCCGCGTGAGCATATCCATATCTCTAGAATCCTATATTATATAGGGTTCCCATATCTCCGGATTTGCCCGGAGAACTCCGGATTTTAAGGCAAAAAAAAAAATGCTTCGGGGGATTTCAGAAAAAAACATGAAATCTCCTCTTTATGGAGGTTTTTATTTAATTTTTATAAAAATTCGATATTTAATACTTAAATTTTTATACTTAAATGTGTAGAACTAAAAATGTAAAAACTATTAAATGTAAAATGTTTTTAGTCATTCTAACAATTTATTGAAAATGTTCACACAGCACGTGTTTTCTTCTCTTAATTACACAATATTGAAAAATGCGCGCGCATCTAACTTGCAAAAACGAAAGTCGTGACCAATAAATTACGTGAAGGTAATAAAGTATTTTGGTTGCTGCTACACAAGAGATAGTTTCTTTAAGTTAAATTTTTAAAGTAAAAGAATTACTGAACTCTCAATAATTATGTTTAAAAAAAATGTTTTCTAGTTTAAGAGCAAGAGAGAAATGAGTGTGAAGCCAAATTCAAAATTTGCCCAGCTGGATCATTTCTCTATGTTTCTCCCAAAGATAAACAAATTACTATATGTTATTTTTATTTATCTAGTTCATCTTACAATCATAATTAAGCCAAGATTGTGTAAGTTATGTAACCTTTGACCTGTTAATAGTCTCAATAACAAGAGTTAAAAGCTTTAAGCTGGATGAAACTTGACAGTATCCCTATTTGGGATCAAGTTGAAGACTTAATTGTAAACAAAAGCCCCTTTTTAATGTTAATAAATCATTGAGCCATGACTAATTTTCAAACTTATAAATTCAATAAGTTTTTGTTATCAAACAAAGACTTATTGAAAAAGATAAGTACAACAAAAGAGTATAGTTGGTAAGATTTATCTTCCCCTGTCCAGTTCTTGCTCTGTTCCAACAAATGATTAGCCGATAATAGTAAAATTGATAACTGATTCAAGTGATTAGTTAGATACAAGTGAATAATGGTTACAAGATATCAATAGAGACAAGTTAAATAATGGAGGAATAATTATTGGCTTGCATTTATATAGTATGCTTCATTTTAATATACAATAAACAAGACTCAATTCATCAAGAATCAATAATTGTAAGACAGCAATGAAATTAAATGTGAACATTTAGCAATTAAAATTAGGTTATTTTTAATTGCAAAACCAGCAATTTGTGTTAAAAAACAAATGACATTCAAAAAAAGGGTTATTATATATTTAATTTGCATAAAAGGGGTCCAATCGGGTAATGCCTCGCTAAATAATAAGGATTCTCATTCATGTAACATGTATTGTAAAATCAGGAGCTGGTTTTGTCACTCGCCAAGAAGGAGGCTAAAAAGGTATTAAATAAAAATGTCTGCATATTTTCATTTTTAAGTAACTTTTTTTTTTAATTTTTTGTACTTTAGTGTAATAATCAAGTTCATATATGTATAATTAAGTATAATAATCAATTTCATAATTAAATATCGGTGCAAAAGAGGCGGTATTGAAGCATAATGTTTTTGTTTAAAGGTGTTTTTCAAGAAAGGTGGAGCGAAGCACGCAAGAAGATTTAGAAGTTAAATGCAGGGCTTAAACCTTTTGAAAAATATTTTAATCTTATAAAGTTATAACTTATTTTAAGCTATAAAATTGTAAGTTATTTTTTAGAAATATTTTTTCTTATTATCATTTTCAAACTATTATTTGTGCTTTTTTTTTAAATTGTCAATAACTATATTAACCCTTTGGCGACTGAGTTAAAAACATCCATATGACTGCGCGTAAAATAACGTATTTGGATCATGAACAATTAAAAAGGCATAAAATAAAAACTACTTGTCAAAATATAACAAATAAAACCTTTATTTTTTTGTTAGAGAAAAACTCTCATAATTAAAAAAAAAAAAAATTTAGTCACTTGATCGAAAACATACAATATTGAATAAACAAAAATATATAATTTCTTAATTTAATCCTAAAATATTAATAGATTAATTCATAAACATATAGTTTTTAATATTAAATAAGATTTATAGTCGTGATCGAACAAACAAAAAAATTAAACAAACTTGACAATTTAATCAAAAGATATTTAACTTTTTTTAAGGGCACCAACAAATTGGAAATTTCCTTAAAGTAAAATATATATATTTTACTTTAGGAAATTTCCAATTTGTATATATACAAATTTGGTTTGAGAAAACATTTTATGTATGACTAAACATACATAATATCTTTTTAGGAATAGTCCAAAACAGTGTGATAAATTTGAAAACACTCATCAGGATGTAACCCGGGTTGTGATAGACAGAAATTACAAAAAAAAAACAGTTTTCAAGGGATGTCCTTTTGCTGTATGGCTTATTTTGACGGTTTGAGTATTATTTCACCATCTTTATCAAATTTTCCTGTTTCCTCCATCACTGGATCGTGATATATTGACAGCATGTAAACAACTTTTGTTTGTTACCCAACTTGTCTTTAGTTGCACGATATTTGCAGGCTAACATTTTATTGTCTTCGATGCGAGTTATGTAAAAAACAGCAGTTTTGCAAGTTGCTCATTCAATATCTCTTTGCTGTAGTGTTTTCGGATTGGGCAAATAGTTCCACAAATATAAGTCTTCTTGGGCAAAAGAAAACTGACAAGAGAAGGGTTTAAAAAGTAATTATTAGAAAAGACTATATGACCTTTATTTAGAAATAGTCCCATTAATTCTATTAGTATACGTTGGCTTGAGGGCATTGTAGAATTTTTGTCATCATCATACATTCCAGTACCACAGTACTTTAGGAAATCAAGTGTAATACCATCAGCTGTAGTCAACTAATATACCTTTATTCCAAATCGTGCTCTTTTTATCTTTATACATTGACGAAAATGCAATCTCATTACCAGCATCAACATGTACCCATTCTAACTGTAATTCTGTTTGACCTGGAACAACACAATCAATGAACTGTTGATGTGATCAACCATCACGAAGACGAGGAAACCTAACCCTAATTTGGTCTATCTACGCTAAGAGAATTTCTTAGAGCCTGATTATATGAGGAAATATGTCACGCTTTGCTGAGATAAAAACTTTCCGCATTTAAAAAACTTTGATTAATTATAATGTAAAAAAGTCTCAGTAAAATTTCCAAAAAGTTAAAAAAAAAATGGTGGAAAAATCGTCGAGGCTTGTAGGTTTACAGACTTATATGTTAAAAAAGATGTTAATAATACAATACTAGACTATAAATGCCGAGTATAAATGCCGAGTATAAATGCCGAGTATAAATGCCGAGTATAAATGCCGAGTATGAATGCCGACAGTTTAACTACTCCTTTTCAAGATGTAATTGAGAAAACAAAAATTGTAATTAAGAATCGTAAGATGTAATTGAGAAAACAAAAGTTGTAATTAAGAAACGTAAGATGTAATTGAGAAAACGTAAGTTGTAATTAAGAAACATAAGATGTAATTTAGAAAACGAAAATTGTAATTAAGAATCGTAACATGTAATTGAGAAAATGTAAGTTGTAATTAAGAAATAGAAAGATGTAATTGAGAACACGAAAATTTTAATTTAGATATCGCTTTAAAGGAGTAAGTGTAAAATGGCGCTTAAAAAAAATGGCGCGTAAAAAAATGGAGCGTATAAAATGACGCACTTAAAAATGACGCAAGATTTGTAGCGTAAATTTAATTTTTTAGGGAAAAATTTAGGGAAAAATTTATAATTTTTGGGCAAATGAATTTAACATAATAAACACTAAAAACATTTTAGGGAAAAATTTATAATTCAATTAAAAATTATAATTAAAAATTATATAATTAAAAATCACTTCATTGATTATTTAAGCACCAACTTGTACGTCTTCCATATTTAAAATAGTTGCATAGTGCGTGGTTGTGTGTTGTACCGCACGTGCACAATCTCCTCCCATTATAGTACTTTTCGCCTCAATTACAATTCGTTCTAAGTACTGCATGCGCTGTTCCGCAATCCCGTCACCTAATACAGGTGGAACGCGAATTGCGTTTTTAACGTTACTTTTAATTTTGGACCAGATCGTTTCCACCGGGTTCAACATTGGACTGTAAGGTCCCAAACGTAACAACTGAGCTGGTGAATTATCAAACACCCTTTGCAAACGAGCGTGACAAGGAAATCTGTTACGACGACCAAATCCTCCAAACGATTCCCGGATGTAACCCACTGGTGAAACATAGCCAACATCCACTCGTTACAGGAATCTGCTTTAAATGATCCCCTGCGAGTTTCTATCATGACGACATTTGTAGTTGAAATAGCTGCGATCAAGTGTATGTTTAAACCTTTTGAAGCAGGTACTTTCATAATTGCTCTTTTTTCTTGTCTCGCGCGTCCTTGCGTTTTTCTACAAAAAAGGTTAAAATTTGTTTCATCCAACCAAACTATCTGACGACCATTTGTGATATGTTCGTTGATGTTTCTAACATATTCAGCTCTTTTTTGTTTGTTTTCATAACTGTTCATTGTAGAAGGCTCCTTGTGCACTTTTTTTAATGAGAACAATCTGCCTTCGAGGTAATTTGCTATTGTTGTTGTGCTAACATTTATGTTAAATTGTCTTAATATCTTTGTTTTGATGGCCACCAATGTTAATTGACAATCATTTTCAATCCATGTTAATGTTTCTTCGATTTGATCTTCGGTCAACTTTTTCGGTTTAAAACCTCCTTTTCCGATGAAATTTGAATTTCCGCTGCGAACCCAATTGTATGCTGTCTTATATTTGATACCTAGCGTTTGCGCGAGATTCACCCAATCTTCAAATCGCTCCGCACATTCAACAACTCTTCTCCTGTCATTTGGAGAAGATAAAACGTAACGTTTCCTTTCAACTTGTTCAGTTGTGTGTATTTCATGCCGACAAATCGGACAACTTGAATCTGGTTGTTCCAGAACTGGACGTAAACAAATTTGGTGACATAAATGTTGACACGGATTTAGCTTAATCACAGACTTTCGGGTCATAGTGTA